AGTATCAATTCTTCGCACGACACGGCGTGAAACGAGATGAAAATTTTGAGGGGTCCAACGTCCCAATTGATGAGCGTTTACCAACTCGCCAAAAATCACGTTCTAACAAAAATTTCATTTGCATATTTCTTTAATTTCACGTGAGTTATTCATTTTCATCGCCCTCTACCGAACGAAAGATATATTGAAATTTTACGGTCACCCAGCCAAACTGCTGGCCGCCATCAACTAGTGAGTTATGCAATGGTGGACGTACATAGAAAATTTAACGCTTACTATTGATTTATATGATTGTTGTTCTCATTATTATAAAAATTTAGATAAAAAAATATGCAATCATAGATCGCTATTGTAAAAACATGCCACTCAAAAGAATTGTTCACCACGGGGCACCATAGCTCGCCCGCCAAGCCCTCTTTAAATCCTCCGCTGAATGGGTCCAGTAACAAACTACCAGCTTAATTCACCACTACCTCAGCATCACATTCCAAAAAATATTTAAGTTATAGCGCGCGTGTGTTCATGATTACTAGTCTGTCGATGTAACTTAATAGATCGCTAAAAAGTCTAAATTTCCGCTATTTAATTACACTTCTGCATGATCAGGAGACGCTACTAACAAACTTACCAGCTTAATTCACCACACCAGTCTGTGCCACATTTCAGAAAATTTGAACTATAGTAACACATAAACATGATGATAACATTCGGCCGATTCGTGTTTCCATATATCAAAAACGTCGAGATTTCCAACACCAAATTATACATTTTAAAGTTCAGAGGACTTCGTAGTACGTGAGTCTAGTGAAAGACTATCATCTGTAGTCACTATTTCAGAGCCACATTCTTAAAAATATTAATCGAATTATCGAACTATTACGTGCGCAGTTCATAATGACAAAAATTGATGCTGGAGTCTAAAAACTAAAGATGATTAATATTCCTATGTAAAAACTTCGTTATACCGACTTGAAATAACAACACTGCTTATAACGGGGGTCGTGGCATACCTGTGCCCCACACAAAGGTCTCTACGAACATAACTAAAGGGTCGTGATACAATAAAATCTAAATTAAAAGAATTTACATTTAATACAAAGTACACTCCTTTTGCTAAGTACTCTACTCAAATGTATCTATACATAAAACTATAAAATAGCTTAGTATTTTATTTAGACTAGTAGTATTCTGTCAATCATAATTACATCGTAGGTATACCAGAAATTATATTATTTATTTATAACACCCACGTTTTATAGCATCACGGAATATACCCA